GGGTCAATAGAGTTGCTACTGCTAGGTTGTCAAAATTATTAATATATATAAACAAATAGATAGTGACCAAAACAAGAAAGAAAAAGACTTTTTTCTTAACATTGGGACTGTAAGATAATGATACGTTTTACTTTTGTTAACGATGCGTTTTACTTTGGTGGCTAAGAACTACTAATGATACGTTACTTTACATCCTTGACTTCATAACATGTTTTTATTTGATACTATTATTAATATGAGTCCAAAATCATGACAAACGAAATTCATCTACCGACTTTTTTTAATGCCTTTTCGATTTTATTTTGTAAAATCACAAGCCGGGTCATCATATCTACATTCTTTCGTCATTCATTGAACCATGGGAGAGTAATTTGTTCGTCGGTTACGTTTGGGTTTGGTATTTATTGTCGTGCGGAATCCGTGACTGGAATTAAAATTAAAGATATACTATTAACCAATTATCGAATATATTTGACCGACGAACCTACTGTTATGCCCACTTGCTACAACAAAGTTTCTTTCATTGTCGAGCCTATAAATAACATATTTGGAATTTTTTTTTTTTTTTCAAACGTATAACTGATTTGTTTTCGTAATTTGGTTTTAATGAATCTTAAGTTTTGAATAAATTATACGATGTTCAAAATGACAAGTGTAAGCCTAATTTGTTACAATATTGATACATAATTATCCTAGACTAATTAAATTCACACTACTCCATTAATTAATTTGGATTTCGGTCTAGGATAAATTTTTCTTTTAGTCCATATGAATTTATGTATTTAACGTCTGAAGAAATTCGTTTTCTAGCTTTAACATAACACTTAATACTGTGTTATGTTTACAAATGTTTAATTAGTGCTTAAACACTTGCATATGCTCCATCTTCTGGACTCCACATACTCCTCAACTCGTTCATTGTTAAACAAAAAGTATAACCCCAATGATGAATACAAAACCGACTAAACTTATCAAGTCTATGTTTTTGTACTTATATAGGTGTATTTCTGTATGTATAGTTTGTGAAATTATCTCTTTCTAGATTTGTGATCTAATCGGGGTTTCTCTTTTTCCAATCAGTTTTTCAATTAATGTGTCGGTTTGCTTTTAAAAGGTGGTACACTACACATATTGTAACCTAGATTCAAACTTGTAGTACAGTGATTTATACCAGTGATGATATATGTTCACGTATCATATTCAAATTTGAAAACATGTACATGTACAGTATATATAATCCATATAAATAACAGTATTTCCTGCAAATAAATTCTCAAAATGATTAGAATTTGCGATTTTACCCATTATATCATTAAAGCACAAGTCAATCATTCAAGTAATAGTCAATCCGCAATATAACCTTTCTAAATTTATCAAACCACAAAATTT